GGCAGCAGAATAACGAACGCGCAGCGATTCGAATTCAAAGTCGACCCAGGCAAGCTCAGCTTCTCTATAAGAATAGATTAATATATAAGAAAATATTAAGGAAAAACAAAAACAAAAGTACGTTTTCTTCAAAAACAAAATGAGCGACTTGTCGGCACGGGCAATCCCAACCTCGGAAGCCACGTGGGCTGCCGTATACAAAGAGTCGCCGGTAATCATGCACACGTTGTTTTTGCATTCTATCAATTCCTGGAGGACTTCTTTAGTGTCCTGCAGAAAATCCATAAACAAAACTGGTAGATATTCTCATTTATAAAAAGCAAACGCTTCTGTTACGGCAGTTGAAAGTCAGAAACCCCGCAAACGTCAAGTTTCTTTCTGCAAGGTCTCTGTCTTTGCAGCAATGCTGCAATTCTTTACTAGCGAGTTCCTTGGAAAGGGAATAGTAAGATAGAAAGAAAATCAACACGAAAGGGGCTACTCTATATGCCAACGCGATGATCCTGTAGCCCTCCTTGGCCAGCGCAGTGTAGGCTTCGTTATACCAAATAGGTTTGTGCTGGTCATAAGTAAACAATAACAGTCTCTATCGAGATAAAAAAACACTCGCACTTTCACAGAGTCTTTCAAAAGAGTGTAAATGCGTTCAGGACTGCCTTTTGCAAAGCAGTAAAACCTTTTATTTCCGCGATGCTAAATGAATATAGTCAAAACTAGATATTAAGTAAAACTGTCGACATTCAACTTCAGAATAGCTGGCAATAACGGACATCCGCTGCAGAGAAGATAAAAAGTGATGGCGATGAAGAATTTCTACAGGCGCCCCCTTCATGCATTTCGATTCGTTATGAAACACTATAACGAAGTAACAAATAAGCAAAATGCGATAATTGTCCCGCATAGAAGTCAACACTCAAGCGGAAGTGCATAGCGCCCATCGCTTCCCCACGAGATGCTCAGAAGAGCAGCGACCTCCAGCGGATCGCCGTGGAGTTTTCCGGAAGAAAAGAAGACCGAATGGCAGGCAGCAACGACCAGGCGAAATTCTTTCGGTGCATTTTCAGCGGGAATCAAAGTGGTGCTGGGAGGCAAACAAGTGAAGACTTTTCCGCACACACAAAGTGAATAAAAAGTACAAGTTTTTTGGTGCTTCCAGAGAGGAAGGAACCACTCCTGCTACCTGCAATCTTTCAGAAGTCAGCGTGCCTAAGCGTGCCGCATAAGAATAGAAAAGATCAACACAACTAGCGCTAGAATACCCGTTTTATCGAAGCAACACACCGAAACGGAGCCTGCAAGAGGAATCCGAAAGGGTTCGGTGCAAAACACAGAAAGGTACATCAAAGCCGACAGAGAGGTGTTCACTGCGAGAGCCTGCAAGTCGCACAGTTATACAGGAAAGACGCCTTAAAAAAAATAGTATAAGTGCCATCTGCATGGGGAGATCCGGCGGAACGACAGACGTGATAATCAGAATGCAGTGCAAAAGAAGATCAAATCTTGAACGCTTTCCTTCACTCAAGCCGCGATGAAGCACGTATCCTATACTAATGGATCAAAAGAAGTGTGTAAAGCTGGAAAATAATAAAAAACCCGAAGAAAGCAAGGCAAAGCAAAGCAAAAAGCCCAAAAGTAAAGCCGCCTCTAAAGAATCGCCCGTCACCTTTTCAGTACTGAATTCTTTATAACAAAAAATATTAAAAAAGCGACAGCATCCCGACAAAAACCTACCGATTCGCCTAACGAGTTTTCCCTGAGAAGACGCGAATCCCGTTCGAAGTACATAACACGTGACTTTTCCGGCTTCGTTTCGGGCCTCCAGAAGTTGCGTCCCGCCAAAAAGGACATGAATCTACAATTCCAGTGTAAAAGAATAGAACAATTAAATCCATAATTCAAGGAAAGCGAGGAAGTAAAAAGTGTAGAAGAACCTGTCTTCGCTTTTTGCGTCGAGATTTCTCTCGGAAGGCGCGATGGCTTCCTTTAATAAAGGAATACTTTCTCCAGTCAACGTAGACTCATTAACAACAGCAGATCCTTCTAACTAGAAATTTAATCTCATAAACAATTTTAAAAGTCTTTAAAAAGGGAAAGGAACGCACAAGCAAGCAGTCGCAGGGGATAGTTGCTTCGTCCTCCTTTCCGCCTTGAATGTGGATCAAGTCTCCAGGAACTAAGTCTTCTGTAGAAAGCAAAATCCACTTTTTGTTCCGAAACGCTTCACACCTTCCACAATTATAAAATTTAAAGGCAAAAGATCATTCATAGAAAAACACACGCGGTTGCTTTGTTTCCCATCCCGCGAATTTTTTGGATGTTCATTCTTCTTGATTGCACTACGGAAGCTTCAAAGCCGAGTATCATTACCAAGTTAAATAAAGAGTACTGCCAGTATTCCTATGCAGTACGATCAATAAATCTCTCAGTAAATTAAAAAAAATTTGAAAATTCAAAAAATTTAAGAGCACACAAAAATGATTATTAAAATTTCAATACCTCCAAGCACCACAACGCAACACAAAAGACTTGAAACACAAAAAAGGGAGACGTGATTTGCTCTATATACATTTCCAAAAAGGTGGGCATGGGAATCTCAAATCGATTAAGACCGAAGCGCCTTCGCTTTTCCTTAACCTTCAGTTGGCAAAAAAAATATTAAATTAGTTTTTTTGAAAAATTATTACAAATAAAAAAACTTCATCATCGTTGTTGATCCCGGTGCTGCTAATAAAACTAGAGATAGGCGTATTTAAATTGCACTTTACTTTCTCGAAAGAATTAGTTTCGCAAGTATACTCAAAACGGACTTTCTGGAAAACGAAGCTGGGCCTCTATAAAATTAATAAATTACTAAAAGATAATAATTTATTACACGAATTAAAATGACTTTAGAATTTAAGTCAGTAAGCTCCACCAGCGAAGGCTTTCCGCGGTGCTTACGAGGAATAACTTTGACTAAGTGGGCCTCTCCCAACGATTTAACGGTTTTACAGGTAATAAAAGCTTTAAAACTAACGGACCAATACTAATTAAATTAAAAAGACTAGGAAATTACAAGGAAAAAACCTTTTTTACTCAAATGTAAAACCCTAACGTAAATATAAAACGTAACCTGCAATAACTGCCAAAGAATGACTAAAGAAATAATAACGCATAAAGTGAAAGATGCCCAAAAGTCTGGTTGCCAAAAGTAAGGCAGCTCTTCTTCTTTGTTAAAAGTCTTAAAATATATTAATCAAAAAAGGAAATAGAAATTTAAAGTTAACGCACTGCTTCAACTTGATAAAACCATGATGACTCTGGTTTAAAAAACCAAGAGTAATCGCCTTCATTTCCAATAGCGCTGATATTATTTGGGCTCTCTTCTCCAACTACGTTATCAAAAACGTTTTCATGGGCATTAAAATCATAAACCATCCCTTCACCGAAAGTTCCTTCAAACTCTGATAACTGAACATCGCGTTGCTTATGAAGAGTTTCAGTTAATTGTCGACCAGAGGTGTCATAGCACCATTTTAAAGTATAAAAGAGAAGCAATATGAAGATAAGCACATCCAATCTCTAGAATACAATTTATAAAAAGCCCAATGTTATTAAGTAAGTCAGTATTAAATGTTGTGACTAAATAAAAGAATTAGGTAAGACCTGGTATAAAGGGCGCCGTCTATGCAATGTTAGCGACGTAATCGTTTTACTGTCGCACCTTAACATTTGTTAAAATTTCCATACAATGTAACAAAAAAAATAAGGCAAACAACAAACAGTTTATAGCTCTTGCTTAACCCTCAATGGGTGAAAGTTTATTAAATTGCCAAGTAAAAATGAGTCAATATCGATCAGCTTGTGTAATTTATACAATTGATGTTCTCAAATGGTTTAAAAAATCAATAAATTTTATAATATTTATGTATTAATTTGCCGTAGTAAATTATAAAAGAAATTTTACATAATTTTTATTTCGTAGTCATTATAACTAGTCCCACTGTTTACCTGCGCTTTTGTTAGCCACCAGCATGACAGTTAATATATAGCAAGCCCACGCTGCAAAATTTTCCAGCTCTGCGCCCCTCTCCCCCTTTGCCGTTCTGTTTACCTCTTAGCCTAACGCACTGTAGTCAGTCACGCAGTGTTTACATCCAAAACTTTTAGTTTATAGAACTAACGCTCGTATTCTTCACCAACACAGAATTTCAAAAACGCCCTACAGCCTCTGACTCTAATTATTAAGTGATTCAATAAATGCTTTTCACATATCCTTAGATGGAGCATGACAATTTTTTTTTAAAAAAATTATATTTTACCTAAGGATTTTATGTGTAATATAAAAGTTGTTAGAGGTAACTACTATTATTTTTAATTTTTCTGCTGGTAATTTAAGTCTGGTAATTTAGTCAAACAAGTATAAAAAGGTAGTACAACCAATTTTTAAGGTTCCTTTTTAGTAGTGTCGCTTTAACCATCTGTCTGTGTAGATGAAGTCTATTTTGGAATGTAGAAGTTTATTTAGTCGCTAACTTTTTAATAGAGAAGAAGTTCTTAATAAAATAATTTTTATGACTTATAGTATTCGTTAAAAGTTTTTTTTAAAAGTTTTGAAGTTGATCATATAAATTAAGAATTTATTATCCAAGCTTAATGTTAGGTAATAAACGACGAATAAAACACTTTCTGCCACCTGTTTGAAGAGCAAACTTTTATTTTTTATTATTATTTTTTTAATGACTATTAATATTTTAAAAAAGGACATAACTTTAATAAAAGCAAAGAGCTTTTGTGTTTAAAAGTAGCAAACGTTACCCTCAGAGGGAAAACTAAAAGGGAGTTTTCATGTACACAACTAGGCCAATTAACACCGAATACTCGATCAGGTTAGTGGCCTACAAAGTAAAGTTTTTGCCTACATTTAAGCAAAATTCTTATATAGTTTGGCTTTACTCCCATCCTGACTACGTCAGACACTAAACGCGCAGGTCGGAACGGCGGCAGCGTGACCATCCCATGATTAGTGAGCGAGCTAATCTATTAGCTGTTAGTGAGTTTAGTTAGCCGTTCGTAGGTCGAAATGGCATTCGTAAGAGAGTAACGTCTAGCGCTGTGCCCGCCATAACACGCAGCAGCCACGCCTTATCTCACCTGAAGCGAAGCAGTATCTCAGACAACAGAATGTGTAGGTCAAAAATTGGTCGGATGCACAATACATACAAGCGTCGCTTGTTGCAGAACGGGAGTTTGCTTTCAGAGCTAGTTAAGTGCGTAACGCTCGGCCGCCATAACAGCTTATTGTTAATGCTGACTCCTATAAATATCGCCTGAAAAACGCGTTATATCTGCGCCTTTAAAAACCAGTGGCATTGGTAAATGCATTTCTTCGCTGTAAAATAAACTTTGCTCTTCACCCGTTAAGAGCAATTACTCGTTGATGATACCCACTGTTAAGTAAATAGGTCACTTTTCAGATAGTTCTACCGTATATATGTCGTTTTCTGCCGCAAAATCGCTGTGGTACAGGTAAAATAGTGGTAAAAAGAGGCATTCCGCAAACTGTTGTGGTGTGCTAATAACTTTTTCGTAATGCGTCGGTGTAGTTGACTCAATCGTTCATTTATATTTAGTGCGCTACAACTCCTTCGTCACTCGAGTGAGACATCGACGCTCGCAAATAAGCGCCTTCAACTTTGTCAACAGTAGTGTTCAGAAAGGCGGTTGTTAACGATAGGACGGACAAGTTTAGCCTTAACATGGACGCCTTTCCTTATGAGGGCAGAAATTCTTTTATTATGACCTCAAATCCTAAGGATGGTGGGTTAAGAATGGGGTGATCGGTAAAAAGAAAAGGGTTGCGGAGTGAAAACCTGTGGATATGTTATGTGTAATGAGTTAATTATTATTAATCGACGAGTTGCAAAAATTATTTTCTTCCAGGTAAAAGTATAACTTTATCACAGGTGTCAGAGAAAATAACTTATAAACTAAATGCTCGAAAGATTCTGAAGGTTGTGCGTTAGGCACCTAGTATTTGTGAATCAAATGTTCAAAGATTTTATTTTGCAGGTGCTTTTTACTTAATCCTCGCTGCAATTAAATATTACACCTGTAATAGGATTTATTGGACTATATCACTTTTAAAGATTTTGAGCCTCGGGTAAAATACTACTTTACACTAAATTGATTAACTTATGACCATGAATTTAAGAAATAACGAAAGCTTGAATAGCGGGAATCCTTTACATTTTGAGATTAATAAGTAACTCATCATTATTAACTATACTTTTATTAGTAGTAATGAATAACAAAAACAGAATTGATGACAAATATTTAGCAAGCAGTAAGCCAGTAAACAACGCAGTTCTTTCAAAGGAAACTACTCAAAAGGAATTTACAAAGTTTTTAAGCGCTTTAAACAAACGTTTGGTTGAGTCGGAAAGAAATTTTCAAGCAGAATCCGAGAAAATCTTAAAAATTTTGAAAGAGACGCAAGAAATTCAGTTTTTGATAAAAGAGTTAAAGCTTTCATCAAATAGAGTTACTAGAGAGTTTCCTTGTAAAAAAAAAATATTAAAGCCTTCTTTAGATTCAGCTTCCAACTGCTTACCTATCAAATTGCGTAAGAAAAAAAAGATAAATCCCATCCGTGTTAAAAAGAAACAAAAGTTTGGAAAAGAGCCTGCCCTTCGAAATAAGAAAATAAGTTATTATTATAATAATAACCTAAAAGTAAGAGCTAAAAAAAAATTGCTTTCTGAGGAAAACCAAGCTAGAAAACAGGACTCAATGATCAGTGAAGCCTTCTCAGGGTCGAAATACTCAAATACTAAGCATCTTGGTGTTAAAAACTCAAAACACCTCGAAAGTAAAACTATAAAGTTGCCTTCAGCGACTCAAGAGTTATTTCAGTCTCCCTGTAACATGACTTCTCTCTATCCTGGTCATGATCCTCGCGATGTTATTGATATTGGCGACTACGTGGCCGTTAAAAACAGACAGGGTATGTATTTTACGGTTTACTATTATTAATAAAAACGAAGTTATATTATCACAGGTTCAATTGGAACTGTTAAATTTATAGGAAAAACTCATTTCAAGGAGGGTATCTGGTTCGGCTTACAACTTGAAAGTGACCACTGCGGAAAAAATGATGGCAAAGTTGATGGAAAATTTTATTTCAAATGTCTTCCTAACAAAGGTTTATTTGTTAGAGAGGAAAACCTTATTAAACTAAAGTAAAATATATCTATACATTTTTAAAATCTTAAAGAAACTCTAAATTTAAGAGCAGCTACAATGATTTTGGTCATTGGGTGAAAATATTTATATTAAACTTAAACAGCAACTCATTCTACTAAAAGTCAACTTTATCTGTAGAAAATAATACTTCTGTAAGTTATTACTTATTTATTATGTACTGTTAAGTATGAAAAATTTCATATTGTAAGTAAATAAAAAATAAAATACCTTCCCGAATAAAACATGCTTGTAACCTAAAAACGGTTTATAATTTCACCTGCTATTTATTAGACCTTATTAGCCTCATACTTTGAAATAAATTTTGCTGATAGCATAAGTTAAAACAAATTCGACGTTTGCTAGTCACCCCGTAAGCATAGCCTCGAGCTGCAACGAAGAAAGTACTTTACTGAAGAGCAAACCAAGATTTGGGAGCAAACAACAATCTTAAACAGCTTACCAATCCTAAATCTGGGCTAGTAGTCGTTGTTAATCTTCCCCAGGAGCATTCTCAGAGCAATTCACTAAACAATACAACTTTACATCTTAAATTTATATCTAAAACTACAATTTTAAATGATTCGATTCAAGTGATTAAACAAACAGATATATTGGAATTATAACTATATTTTTCTTGTTAATATTGATTAGTCTTCTTTAAAGTTATGTAAAGATTTTAAGTAAAATGCTGCACTGTCATACAATAGAACACTTAAACAATATAATAAGACCTTCCTGTAGTCATACCTATTTCGAGTTTTAAATCTATGTGTTCTCAAGTGAAACTATTCTAAAAAAGAGTAGTTAACACGTCATTTTTTATAATATTTAATTCAGTTTGTTGATGTATAGGCTTAATAACTTAACTGTTAAACAGTTTTGGGGCGAGTATGTCGAACGATATATATTAACTAGTTTAAGATCCTCTATTTATATTAAAATTATAGCTCTACTGATTTTACTAAATATCCGAGTGCAAAAGTAAAAGACTTTAAAAACTTTGTAAGTAGCCACTCAATAAATCTTCCTCCGCTATGTCTACTTTAAGGTAGAAGGCAACGCCGCCTTTAACTTACTTAGTGTAGCAACTTTCGGTTTTAAAAAAATTATACTTGTGACATCAATAGCTATTTAACATCAAAGAGCTCGTTACTAGAATTTTAACATCTAGTGTTTTTACCATTGCGCAGTTAGGATGATGTGTACTGATTATAACAAGTCATAAACTGTCGATACCAGACAAAAAGGTTTGGTCCTCAGGGTGAGGGTATGAACCGCTGCTTCACCTTCAATAAAACCTTGTTTTATATCTTTTTGACCACAAAGGTTTAATTTATACCACGTGGGAGGGTAAACCCAACACTATAAACATTAGCAATAACCTAACTAAACAACAGTTTAGTAAAAAGTCAAAAAGCGGACATTATAGATTTAATTTCCCCATTATGAAAATAGTTTTTTAAAATTTTTGCAAAGTGTAACTAAGACCTAGTAGCTTAGCCCGGTCAGTTGACCATAGCGCTGTAATTATTAAATTGATATCAAAAAAGGTAGCAAAATTTTCAACTGTACCTAGAAAACACAAACGTTGGAGACCGAGACTGAAGGATGGGGGCTAAGTGGAGGGTTCTTAGCTGGTGCTACTCCAACCAATTAGGGCGAAAATTTTGCTGTTTGGGTGCCTATTATATGGGTGGGTCTCAGACCCGCATGCAGGGTTTCGAGGTTTAAAAAGGTATTGCCAACTTAAAGAAGCTAACTCTACTACGAAGGTTCAGATGAACTATAAGTAGCCGACAGGGAAGTTATATCAGAATTTATGAGGGCTATAGGTTAAACACGCTACCAACATAGACCGGAAAAGAAAGTCTTATCGGTGGAAATTGAACCCACCAACTTGAGTATTCGCGTCAATGCTCTTATCCTGGCGTGATGGTTTTACATAACTGTTAATTTAGACCCCCCAAAAAAGAACGAGCAGTTCATCAAAGTCTGATACTACTTAATTATTGGTCGAATATTTATACTAAAACCATTGACAAATTCGGTAATATGCGTAAAACAAGATTTCCCACTTGCCCTTCTTCAGGACAAGCAGTCATTTTAAACGCAGCGCTTTGCGTAGCTTATACTTTTTAATTATAATGCCTAACTATATAATATAAAGTAAGAGTAGAACTAGAACACTTTTCTTTTATTAAAAATACTTTGCATTACACTTGAAAGACTTAGGTCTCCCGAGAGAGTACGTTGTTTTAAGGTTTTATACTCTTCTTGTGCTCGCGTATATTACTAACATGTTTGTAATTAAACGAATTGACTCTTGTACATGCACTGTACCAACTTTTTAAGCTACTTTTAATGGTCTGCGCACTTATCAATAACCTATTATTGGGGATCATTAAACTATAATGACTTAATGTCGGTTTTCGCTTTTCGGCGTGGCGAAAAATTTAACAAATAAAGTGTCCTATGCCCCGTTTTAAGTCCGTCGCCTAGAAGAAAGGATTATCATTAAATTTAAATATTGTATGGGTAAGGAAACTAGAATACAAAATGAAGTTAAAGCGAAAACCATTTAACAAGGAAAGGGGGTATGACAGGACTCGATACTTGAGATGAACTACTCTTCTTAAGATGGACGACTACTTTTTGGCAGGGTAGAATATCTAACACATAGCTAATCAAAGATATAAATGCTTGTTAAAAAGCTTCCTGGTTAAGCACTGCATTTAACTCTTCTTTGGCACGCTATTCCCAAGCAATATTTACTCAGAAGGTGACACATAGTTGGCATGATTTTTATATCCTTTAGCACTGACATACTATTTTCAGCCTCTTTAAAACATAAACCATTTAATCTTTTCAATTTCCTTCAAGAGGAGTTTATAACCATATGAAAAAGAAAGGTCTCCTTTCTGTAATACTAGGTTAGAAATAGGAGAAATATCGCTTCTGGACTATGTCCTTTAGCCGGTAAAAGACTGCTAGAAAACCGTTATTGGGAGAGGTTACCACTAGTATGAGAACCTGAAGATCAGCCAGCATAATTAACATCGCTTAAATTACACTTTACGGATGCTCTACCAAAAAATTAACACGACTCCCTCAGCCGCAGGGCGTGAACATCTTTACCCTAATGTTTAAGTGAAATTTAACTAAATGAAAAATTATTCAGTTTGCATAACCTAATTTTAGAATTTGGAAGAAAAATCATATATATTCGATGTAGTTACAGAGAAAGCGAATAGATACCAAGTAGTGTTTAGGCAACATACTATTCTACTGTTATCATCTTAAGTCATTCTGTTTATTTAAAACTTTTCATGGTTTTACTTTTAACTGGAATGAACAAAGAACTACTTTTATCGCAAGGACGCCCTCGAACGCACCATACTACGGTTAGTTAATAATATTACCTTGCTTAATTTGAGGTTCATGAAAGAACTCATTAAAACTTATGTTCAAAATCTACCGTACAAACTAGTTAGTCTTAAGAAGACTAACCGATAACTGGAATTAAAGTTAATTGTAAAAGATCATCTCTACTAAACCTTTTTTAATAATTGTAACAATTAGGAAGTTTTGCTCTGAATTCTTTTTAATAGGCAAATTTCGCATAAATTGTATAATAAGTATTTCAGGCGCTTCGCAGGTGAATTAGTAGCCTTAGATATAAATTTAGTTATCCCTATTAAGATAAGCCTGCGGGCCCCCTCTGGCGGAAGCTTTTAGTCGGGGAGGCTTGGCTAGCTGGTCTTCAGACGCTCTCGGGTCTAGTACTCGAAGGTATCTCTTCTGGTGGTGGTATTCAGCGTTTTTCCATTGAGGAAAAGAAATAGGCTAAAGCAGTTAAAGTCATAGTTAGTATTAGTCGTAGTACGCCATTGTTAAAAAAAATAAATAAGACAGGCCTGCTAAGGCTATTTATTGTGAAATGCTTCTTACTTACAAGGTGCTCAAAGCATTTGAAATAGCAAAAATTCACTCTTATCTGCCTGAGCAAACAGAAACATTAACATTTTCTACTGACGGCAAACGTTGCATTACTTCAGTTGGTAGCGAGAAAATAGTGCTATACGACTGTAACAGTGGCTTGTATATATATATATATATATATATATATATAACTATTAATGTTTAATATAGGATTTTTTTATATAAAATTTCAAAAATTATTTTAGTTAAGAGAAACTATTTTTTGGTAGAGGGGTATATACCATTTTGAGGTGTGATTTTTTTTGTAAATAAAATATTTGTTTCACAAAGAGATTTGAAAACTATTAATATAAAAAAGTATGGAATTGGAGTCGTTGAACATACTTATTGCGAAAACACCATTTTACATACTTCCACTAGATTGGACGGTTTCTATTTATTTATTCTAAAGATTCTCTCATAGTTGAGTAAACTTTATATATACACTTTTAGCCCTTTAACCTATATTTTTTACCGTCAACATTTAAATAAACGTAGATAACATCCGTCATCTTTCATTGCACGACAATAAATATCTCTGTTACTTTCAAGGCCACACTAATAGGTCCTAAATTATAACTGGTTTCACTTTCGATTTAGCTATATTTGTTATCTGCTAAATAACCTGCCTTTTATTTATAAATAATGAGCCCGCTCTATAAAATGGTAGATTTGTGTTTTTATATTTTTTAAGTTGAGTCAAATAAACAAGGGTCTTTTTAATTTATGTTTCAATGAAAAGTAATTATGTTGAGCTTAGAACGATTGTAAAAGCATTCGCACTTATTTGTAAGCTATAATTGTTGACTTTCCAGATGTACTGACAGTTTCTTTTTGTTTCTTATTTAAACATGTAAGCTTTAAAATTAAGTGTACCACTAAACATCCGCTTTGTTAAAAATAGTTTAACTTTTTTGTGAAATAATTTTAATATTTTTATTCGTTGCCTCTTTGCAGTAGTAGCTTCCTTAGCTATATATATGTTCAGCATCGAAATCAGGTTTGGTATTAGAGAATTTAATGTTTTATGACTGTAAGTAAAAATAAATTCTATTTGACTTTGACAAATTAAAAAATTTAAAAACTTTTAAGGGTGAAAGTTTTAAATATGGCTCCTTATACTGACCGGTTCTTGTCTGGCGCGGCAGACGGCACCGTTCGTCTATGGGATTTGCGGTCGCCCCGCTGTCAGGGCTGCCTTCAGGCCGGTGGGCTGCCTATACCCCTCTTTGATCCACAAGGTTCAAACTTTGCTGTGGCCTTGGATGCAAAATCTATAAAAATTTATTCGTTAGCCAAGTTTCTCTCGGTAAGCACTTAGTTTACTCGTTATTGTTACAATTTTAATTGTTGATTATTTAAGGGGCCTGCTTGTACATTTACCTTCGATCTTCCTGAGTTGTTGACTTCTGAATGGCGACTCCTTCGTTACAGCCCCGACGGGAAAAGCCTACTTATCGCCACGAACGGTGATCACTTTCTCGTGGATGTTTCTAATGTTTTTCTTTTTATTCAGTTTCTTTACTTTGAGAATAATGTTTTCCCTTAAGGGCGCCATCCACGCAAAGTTATCAGGCCACGTCAACGCGCAAGACGTGTGCTTTTCCCCGGACGGCCGGTTTGTACTTAGTGGTATCTTCCCTTTTCTTTTAATCTTCAATTTTTTTTTTCCATTGCAAATCTTGCAGGCTCGGAAGACGGTGGCATCTACTGCTGGGATCTGAAAGGAGAATTAGTTTACGCCTTTGAGGGGCACAAAACCGCTATCAGGCAAGTTAGATTTAATCCAAAGTTCATGATGGTTGCCTCTGCCGCTGAATGCTTGGTAAAAGCTAAGTTTTATATTAACGTCTTAAATATTAAATAAACTGAAATAGGCTTTCTGGATTCCGAACTTAAAGAAATTAGACTTTTGATGTCGTTAAAAATAAAGTTGATTCATGAATATTAAGGGGACACCACGCTTCGAAATTTATCCTTTGCTCTAAAATAACTATTAAATAATTCTCCTAGTAAAGCAAAGTTTTCCGACTAATAATCTCTATAGTTGAAGTTTACAGTGAAACCTCAGTGTAAACAGATCTTTATCATATAACTATAGAAACTAACTATATTTTAGTTTAAAATTTAGTAGAACGAGTAAGCGTGTAGTAGATTTTTGCTATCTGCTCGTTGCTATAAGGATTTCAGGCCTGTCTTGCAATTTAAAATCCTTAACAACTTGGGCGATTATGAAGTGAATAGTAGTAACAAATTTTTAAGTACGAAGGAGGAATCCCTCCGGATAACTGTTAAGCAGGACAGCAACGTCCGCCGATCCGGCTATATAGCGCAGAGATGCTGAAATTTGATGGCTCAAGTGGGGAGAGCTACGTTTCACTGAGGATGCAGATCTCATTTTTCGCTTTGCATTAACTCCTGCAACTTGTATTTTTATTCTAGACGCTCTCCATACTATAGAACATCAATCGAATATGCTTTCTTTTTTAAGGTTTAGTGGCCATTACAAACGGATTCTAAACCCTTCACGGGTTTGATCTTGAGGAAGAGATTCGTCAACAAAATATTTAACAGTTTGTAGTCGTTGTCCTTGCTGTTGCTTGATAGTTGAGTTTGCTCGATCAACGTAAGCTGCGCTCTTCTTTATATATTATAACGACCTGAGGTATGTAAAACAATATAAAAACTTATGAAGTTCAATTGTGTGCGTTAAGTAGCTTTTATATTACACCTTAAGAGACATTATCCTGGCAGCAGCCATCGGGTTTCGTTGTGTATGTGTACAGATATAAATATTTTCGGCTATCGGGCAATAAAAATAAAGTAAGGGGTAATTTTTAATGAGGAATAAGGAGAAGTAAATATATTTTCTATAAAAAACTAAGTTTCTGTTTTTGCTGCTCCTCTCCGTCTTTCTAGTGGCATACATAACTATGAAACTAACAATATTTTTTTACAACTTAAAAATTATTTTTCGTACACGTTCAACTTTAAAAGCATCCATCTTTTATTGTGCTTATTAATTTAAAGAAAATACTATTTTAGTCTGCTTGAAGTTGTTGGAAAACCGTAATTTTCGCGGAAAAAAATGTTATGGTACACAATAAACGCTAATCCGAGCGTACCTAGTTCTACGAGGATCTTGCTGAGTTCTATATTTTTCTCTTTCTCCTTTTATTACCGTACCTATATTAAAAGCGCTACTATTTTACTAAGTGTGCGTATAAAAAATATAGAGAGTTTGGCTTAGCTTAAAATGCTTTCTTATATAAAATATATGCATTCCCGTGCATTAAGAAACTTTTAGCTGCTAGTGACCACTCTTAATTTAAGAGTTGAACCAGAAAAAGAAGTTACTTACTCAACTAGCGGTGTATAAAACAAACAGTACAAAGTTAGTAGTAATAAATACCAAGAATTAGTTTGAATAACAAGGAGACAAGATATTTCGTAAATAAAAAAGTCTTCTCTAAAAGACAACTATACTAATAATAAAGTAGTAAAAAAAATTCTTTCGACCTCAATAACTACATAAAATTTTCTATCGTAGTGTTTACAAAACTTTTATATTTTTATTATAAATAATAGGGCAAAAGTTAAAGTGACGTTATCAATTATACACAGAATAATTTAGGTAAAAGTTCAACTACAAAAGAATAACTTTTTGATTACATCTTTATTATTATTATTATTTAAATGCTGTATTAACTAAACAATTTCTAATAAAAACTTACGTATTTTGTAAAATAAAGTATGCATCGGCTAAATTAACCAATCTTATATACACAAAGCAACTAAAATAACTAATAGCGCAACTCCAAAAAATAAATTTTTTAAGGTAATCCTGATTTTATTTTAAGGTGTACTTAAAAAAGATTCCTATTTAAAAACATATATTAAAAAAGAGCGCAACAGCCAATCTCATACAGAATTAAATAATCAAGTAAAATTTAAACAAATAATTTTGAACACAATTTTATTAATGCTGTGCAGAATGAAAAGTTTCTGGTAGAGATTTCCAAATTTCTATTAGCAAAGAGTGCATCGGCTTTTGAATCCAAAGTGAATAAGCTTTTAATAAAAAACTTTTCTCTGTCTTCCACTGGTTTATTAAGGATGCTCGAGTACAAATCTACAAAAAATTAGAAACTTAATTATAACATTAAGGCTGACCCGCAACCAGAATATTTGTAAAAAGTTTAAATTGCTCATGTGCATATAAAAAGTAATGGTTTAAAAATAATTTATGTGATCCTCATTTCTTCAGCTAATATAATTTATAGTTTCTAGTAACTAGAAGGTTTAAAACTGAAAATAGTTTATAAATCAAAAGGTGATTTAGCAATTATCTTAAATATATATATAAATTATAGTTAGATCTTAATATAATCAATAAGCCGCCAAAAAAATTTCAAAAATAATAAATCCATCTCTGTCTTTAGCCTCTATAAAAATAAATTTTAATAATGCAGCCCACCGCAAAGAAATTTATTAATTAGGAAAACTTCAATAAATTCATAAATAATATTAAAAAGAATATATTTTGTTGCAGTAATAATAAAAAGAAAGTTATAATAAAATAATATATAAAATCAGCTTTAAAAAATTTTAACAAAGCAAAATAAAATTTATAAATATTAAAAAAGTCAACCTATAATAATTGTTGCTAATAGTTAAGTTATAATAACACTAAATAAAAAAATTCAAAATTTTAGAGAACTTAACTAAGCGAGTAACAAGTAATAACTTTTTTGAAAAATGAGGGAATTTGAAATTACCAAAAAATTAAACCACAAGTTTTTATTAAATAAATTAATAAATTTATTAGAAGCTGTAGATATTAAGTTTTGATAATTCAAATAAATTCAAAAATTAATGTTTTAATCTAATTTTTTTAAAAAAATTAAAAAAAAATTTATATTATAAATTATTTTTTTAACTTTCACTTTTATTATTCGTTATTTGATTTAATATAAAGTTATATAATTTTTTTTAAGTAATAACTTTGTAGAAGTAGTGAATTCAGAAATCTTCTACAATGAGATATTTCTTATATAATTATAATTAAATTGAATAATAAAAAATTTTAAGTAAAAATATGAAAATTTAATAAAAAAAAAAATCGTACGCATATTTAACAATATTTAATTTCTATTATGTAAAATTAAATTTAAAATTCATAAAACTTTCAGATTAGAAAAATGGTATAAATTGTCAAGCAAATTAACATCATATAATGATAATATTATGTACTTTACATTTTAACTTATAAAATATTTATATAATATTATTGTTATAATAATAAAAAACTATTCAACATTCTGTTAGTTTTACCAATAAAATTAAAAACCTCAACGTTTATTATAAAAAAATTAATATTTCTTTTTATAATTATTAATAAATAAAAATAAAATATAACGTCTTATCATGCTCAGTAAGTAAAAAAATTACTCTCATAAATATTGAATTTAAATTTAATAAAATATCAACTTATAATCTAAAATAAAATTATATCAATAATAATTATTATAGTGAAGTTATATAAGTAGTATAATAATTATAAATTAACGATAAATAATAATTATATTCTTAAATAATAAAATAATTACTATTATATAATTAAAAATATCTTTTTTAATGCTAAAAACTTTATAATAAAACTTAATTAATAATTTTAAAAATAAAATTCAAGTTTAAAAAAAAAATACATAATAAAATATAAATGAAATAAAAATTTATAGAAAATTATATAATTAGTATTAGAATAATCATAAATTAATAATATATAATAACTTTGTCAAATAAGATGAAAAAGGTAAAATACTACAAAATTTTTCAAAAACTAGTATATAACGTTTAAAAAAAATTTAAAAGTATTTAAAAGTTTATTATTATTTATAAATAATTATCAATAAAATATAAACATAATAATTACTCATAAATTATTTATCTATTGAGAATCACAATAAAATATCAAGTGTTAATTATGTAATATAAAATATTAAATAAAAAATAACATTTTAAACTAATAAAAGATGGATATAATAAAAATTTAAGAATATCATCATGTAAAAAAAAAGTTCTATATAATAAACATAATAGGCAATAAAAAAAATTATTTCAAAGCAAAAGTCAATTGTAAAACATACGAAAATGAAATTTAAATATGATAGAAAAAGGAAAATAGTAATAAAAAAGTTATAGAGTAAAAAAACAAGTAAAAAAATTTTACTTTGTTATTGGCCAAAGGAAACGTGATTGCAACGACACGCTCTTGTGTGCACGTGGTCAGTAGCAAACGTGGAGAGGCCACGAGGTGGGCAACAAGTGGTTTTAGCGTAGAAATCACTTCTCCTGATTAAGTTTAGTAAAAGGGTTGAAAAAAGTTATAAAAAAACATTTTTATAACTTTCCTTCAAGCTTAAGTAATTATAATGGCTAAGGAACCTTCCAGAAGACTCATGGCGAATACTTTATAGAGGTTGGGATCCTCGCCAGGAAAAGGAAGTTCTCTGCTTGGAAGCTGCCAAGAATGGATCCCGGCAGTAGCTAAAATAAATAATGATAATAATAATTAATAATAATAATAATAAAATAATAATAATAAAAGTAATAATAATAATAATATCACCGGAAAGCCGTGTGCACACCGAGTCTAGTTGTGGGTCGTAACGGGCGTTCTGAAGGTCACGTGGCTTTGTAAATACGCAAATGAAAGGAGCATAAAGAGGGACCCACGCAGGGTCTACTTTAGTCAGAAGCTACGCAGCATGGATTAGTGTGGCACGTAATGAATAAAATGAGAAGTTTATAAGTGACCTTCATGTACTTCTTGGAGCCCACTTCCACGAGCTCCGTGTATATAGCCCATTCGGGCAGTGTCGCGTGGAGGACAGACGATTGGTGAATAAAAAAAAGATCGTCCGAATGAAGGCTTTGATAAGCGCCTTTAATCCGCAGCAATTCGTTGTCATCAGTGGACTCTGCGTGATAACGTTTTACAAGCTGCATTAAAAAAAAGTTTGATGTATAAAATAATAAAAATGAGTAAGAATATTAAGTAACATGATCGCTATATGCAGAGAAGATCGCCTGAAACAGTAAACTCTCCTATAAAAGTAGCAATTATGAATATAATATTAAAAACAAAACATAATTGACTTGTCTCTTTGTTGGTGGTTTCAGTTTTAAACCAGTCGAGAGGTTGGCGGAAAATACTCGGTTAACAATTTTAACGAGATGGGAAAAAAGCTAGAAGACGATATATAAAAAAATAAGAAAAGCAGTTTATATAAATCTTCACTTTTCTTATTTCTTTTAAAGACTTTTCCCGCAAGAAATAGCTTTTGCAGAAGTCGGATGAGTTACCGGCATATTCATAGGCCCCCACCACGCGTAGTAGTGCAAATAGATCAGAAGAACACGCCCCCAACATTTCATCTTTAGCCTTTTGAGAGGACGAGGGCCCCCTATCCGAGTTGCCATTGGTTGTCTATAAAAGTATAAACTAGCATACATTTTAATGAACGATGACGCCCTCCCATACGAACTTCATAGTCGGAAAGAAACACGTGTCCCACAGCTAGAGCGGAGACAATGACAATCACATAGCCGAGTATATCGCGATGGTCCAATGCGAAGTCTAAAAGCTTCGCGTAGCGGGGAGGGACCTGCGCAGGTGAACGCGTTAAGAAGCGCAAAAGTGTAGCAAAGACCTAATAATAGTCACTGGAAATTTAGACATGCGCGTGCCAGAACACGTGATCTTTAGCGTTTTAGGGTCCACAGCGCCCAAATTGACCAGATGCTTCTCTGCAGAAACCAGCGATGCCTTAATAACAACAGTATTAGTAATAAAGCGTTACTAGTAACAATAATAATAATAATAAAAAAACCATATCGGGCGGAGTCGGGAAGGGAAAATTCACAACGTTGACTATTCCCATCGCTTTCATTTGCAGGACTACACCTTCTATAGGTAGTCTTAATATCTATTTGAAATATGTATAGCAACTATAACAACAACAATAGTAGTAGATGCCTCTGGACGAGAAAAATTGCTCAAAATAATTCTGAAATACAGCCGAAGAATAAAGTCTATAGCAGTGTCCTTCGTAACGGAAAGAGTCAAAACCACGAGAGAATATATATAAAGAGCAAACAAGTAATACCCGGGCCACTTCTTCCCGCGCGTCCAGCTCGCTGGTTGGCAGATGCCTGAGAAGTCCACTGCACGTCCAGACGAGAAACGCTGTCTTCTCCGAATTCATAGGTGCGCTGTTTAACCTTTATATACAGCACACGTAAAGAAAATAATATTAATAATTTACAATAATAATAAAAATAACCTTTCCAGAGTCCACAACGTAACGAATATCAGGAATAGTTATGGACGTCTCCGCAATGTTAGTGGCCACCACGCATAGACGGGCGCCAGTGGGTGGCGGGCGGAAAACTTTCATCTGCTGGGTGTGCGGCAGCAGAGAGTAGAGCGGCAGCACGTGCAATGGAGGGCATGAAAGATTCGGAATAGTAACAGCCGTTTCACTCTCGTCCTCCGTAGACGCGCTGCTCTCAGCCTGAATGAGTATTAATCGGCTGCATAAAAAAAGTAACATAAACCAAACCTGAAAAGTATTACTTTTAAGTAATTTTTTTTCAGGTGTGTCCTGAGAATCTTCAATAGCATCGTTATAAAGGATAATAATAATAATAATAATAATAATAATAATAATAATAATAATAATAATAATAATAATAATAATAATAACCAAGATTCATAGGAAAGCGCCTTCTGAGTTTCCTCACAAGCGCCATAATTTCCCGTTGCGAAGGAAGAAAAACCAGAAGACCGCCAGAAGGTAAATGCGTGTGCACTTTACACACTTTATTATAAGTTTCTTCAAGATAATCATCGAGCGGTGTGCGGCGGTTGAAGTGGATTGTCACTGGAAACTGTCGCGTCTCCACCTCCAAAAATAATTTAAAATAGTAATTGCAAAAAAAATCGCTCAAGCAAATACTTGAATGACTGGAGGAACGCAGTCGAACAACCGCTCGTTAGCAGTAAAGTCTTTAATGCAAAGCGTGGCGGACATAACAACCAATCGGAAGGGGAGAACACCGTCTTCGTTATTATCTTTAAAGTATAGAAGATTTTTATAAAAAAGATTCTATAAATTCAGTTACATACCTGACATCTCTTTTCTGAGTTTAATTATACGCGAGAGGAGGCCAATAAGAATATCAGTGTTTAACGAGCGCTCGTGCGCCTCGTCCAACACCACCACGGAGTACTTACGTAGTAAAAAATCTTCTTCGATTTCCTTGAGAAGCACGCCTTCCGTCATAAACTTAATTCGCGTACTGCTTGTGACTATAAAAGTGATTATAAAACAAAATCTAATATATATATGAGACTTATAAAACCATTTCCTTCATAACGAATTTGGTAACTCGAGAGAGTGGAATCGTTAAGCTCGTGCCCTACACGTGCGCTCATGCTGATGGCGGCCACGCGACGTGGCTCTGTTACGCCGATGAGTCCAGAAAACTTCCCTTCAGGAAAACTAAAGCCGGCCTCATATAAAAACTGAGGGAGTTGTGTGGTTTTTCCGCTAAAAAATATTAAAAATAATTGTAGAGTTACGAAAATAATAGAGTAGACGTTACCTTCCGGTTTCCCCGCAAAGAATGGTAACAAGATTTTCTTTAATAGTGCTAATTATTTGAAACTCTTCGTAAAAAATGGGAAGAGAAGTGCGCTGCTCCTCAACATCTCTAGTCCTGTTGACTTCAACGTGTATTGGTTTGACTACGGGAAGTTTAACAATTTTCTCAACCGGCATGTTAACATCTTCTTTTACTGCACTGATCTTTCCTTTTTCTGTTGTTTGTGATTTTATTGAATAGTCAAGAGAAGTAAAAGGGCTTAACGGATTCGGGGAAGGGTGGTTATACGCTTCTAAATTCATAAATAGTCTTAAGAGAATCATAAACAAGTTGGTAATAAACTTATGCTAAACCATTTGAATCATAAAAATTATCTTGAGAAGATCTTTTTCTTAGTAGGGAAGTAGCATATTTAAGAAAGCAACCACCCGCATCTTCTTTTTTTTGTTTCCGTAAAGGATTGTCTTCTTCCTTGTTGGAATCTTCAACCGCTTTTTTAAAGCATTAGTTGCATATAAAATCGGTTCAAAATAGTAATAACGCTCTCTATAATCTTGAGATTCCAAATGTAGGTCAGTATTAATAATTTTTGTCGCTCTCTTTACTTTATTTTTCTTACTTCCCTACTTTAAACAAATTAGAATTACTAGAAAAAAAAGGATGTTGTAAAACAGTACGGAGGAAAAGTGAGCAGTTTTATAGAGAAGCTGGGAATGTTCAGAGGTAATTTGGACATGCTGGAGTTCTTTGAGAATATTTAAACGTTCCAATTTTTTTTTCTTTTTCTCTAAAATCTTAAAAATAGGAGGGTAGTAAGTTATTAGGTTTTATAAAGATTATAAGTTTCAAACCTTTCTAAGTCTCTTTTTTTGTTTAACCGAAAGCTTTTTTTTCTTTAAAACAGGAACATGGGATAGAGGGCTACAACTTTCTTTTATAAATTGAAACTTAATAATATTAATTAATACAAGAATTTAACTTTAAATATTTGAAGTAAAGACCTCAGGTTTGTTGTAATATAATTCACCACCCACTTCAAGTATGTCCTTAACAATTGTTTGTTGCTTTGCAAGGCGGCGGCTTTTCCCCATGTTAATAATCGAACATTTCTCTTAAATGTATAATAAAGTATAAGCTTTGCTAAGTGAAGTAGGTTTCATCTTATATTGTTAAGCGAACCGCCCAGGCGGCCCTCCTATTGGCAATAAAACTGGTCACGCGGTGGTTTTACAAACTTTACACCGATGTTCCACAGGGCTTTCTGCTATCACTCCCAAGCTCCATACTATGCATTCTTGGGACACCAGCATCGCATCCCTCCCCGTTGACAATGCAAACCACTCGTCGAGAAACAGTTCCGCATTACTGCAGCTACACCTACAACACTACTTGAAAACTCTCGCTAAGTGCCCTCGGAATAGGCACTACCTTCGCTGCCTATTGCTGTTTACCCTCGTAGAGTGGCATTATATTATTGATTCGTGACCAAGTTGACGGTAACAAGTCGAATACGTTACGATAAACCTCAAAGTGGAAGTAACTACTCACTCTTCCTCCGTAAATATACAAGACGTGAACGTGCCCCTACTAATGCCCCCACAAACCGGCTCTTGGAACTGAATGACTCAGCGCGCACCTCGTTTCGTGCACGGCGAGAAATCTGGAATGAGTTTAGGGCTACTTTAAACGCAACTGCTTTGCTTCCAAACATGTCAATGTACGCATTCGAAATAACAAGTTGACTAGAGAACATATATATATAATTTGGATAGACGCGCCTTTTAAGCCACATACTATTTTTATTTTGTTTAATGTATCTAATTATATTTTCAAAGCTCGCAGAAAACTATGTTATGTTACGCTCAAACTTTTAAATTTTCAAAAAGACTAAGCAGCTTGCGCTTGATTTTACCCTTCTCCCATCGTTATACATTTTTTTCCATAGCTTACTTTTTTTTATTTATTAAAGAGAAAGTGCATAATATAAGAAACAATCTTTAAAAAAATATATTTATTTTTTTAGCTCTTTAAAGGCTTTCAGTTAGTGACTATAAATTAACAGTAGAGCTGTATAATCGTCTTCACTAATTTTAAAAAAAAAATCTATTTTCTGGAATTGCCATAAAAATTAAGTTTTTTTAACCCCAAACTTTTTCTTCTATGCTATCATTACCAAAAAGGTAAGTATGACCTTCTAGGCTTAATGTTCTGTTTTCTTTCATATTTTAAATCAAAGTCTTCCATTTAGTACGCTGCAGCTGTTGTTTTACGAAGTTTTATCTTTAATGTTTATTGTATAAAATACGGGCTAATAAAACTTGCTGTTACGGGAAATACCGCATTAAAGTATTGAGCTAAATACTATTCCGTGAATTATAATGGAAGTAATTGATGACTGAACCGAAAATTCTTTATAACATAAATTCTTATTTTGAAAAATAACTACTTTACAATTTAGGAATTGTGCGATCTTGCTAATTCCACGAAAAAAAGTTAACGCAGGTTTAAGAATAAGCTTACTTTATTAAGGTTCCGTTAAATATACATTTGATTTCAAGAATAAAACGTACGACTGGTTTATTCAACTTAAAGAACAACTCTTTGGGCTGCTAACGCGGAACATGCTTGAGGGTCAAGGAACTAGGATGATACAATTCCAGTAGGCGCTTATAAGTTCTGGAACTTTGCAATAAGGTTAAGTGATCAATAGCGTCAAAACGAGAATTTTCGGATACATTCTATACAAGCAAAATAGAATAAAAGTTAAAAACTATTAGTAATTTAACGAAAGTTTTAATATAAACTTATCAATAGGCTATGAGGATGATAATAACAATAGGAGGGTTCACCTAATAATAGGAGGATTTATAAAAAGTGTAAACCTTATCTCCATAAATTTTAGTAATAAAATCTTGGAAATCTAAGAAAAACTTGGATGCCGATTCTTTGTTCCCTTGCTAAACATTTTGTAAGTTATATAGTTAAAAACAAGGAAAAAACCTATTACTAAAGAAATAAAAAAAAAAAATCAAAAATTTAAAATAATAATACAATACCTGAAGAGAAAGCTCAGACAATACGCGAGTCAAAACACTCTGGACAGACATGGCTTTACTCAGCTACGCAATGAAACTCGTGGCTATTCGTTAGTCATTATCCATTAGTGTTAACGTGGTAAAGTACTTTGCGATTTAAACTTATGCAACATAGATAACTTGTTTTTTGAGAAAACTTTGGATAAATTTTTATATAAAAGCTTATTGTTTTTTAAAATAAACCCCCATACGTACATAACTAAACCACATATATAAAATATAGCTGTGTAGCTTTACAATATCGATACCTAAATAGAAAAACGTAAAGCAAGTCTGTTTAAAGTAGTGATATTTAGGCTCTTAACTTAAAAAATGCTTAAGTTCCTGCCAATAAAACAAAATATAAGAATACAAGCAGTCAACATTAACCATATTGGCTTTTAACCTCCACTCTCTACATAAAAAACCAACATTTATTTCCAAAAACACAACAGGGACTGCCAACAGGAATATGAAAAAATGTATGCGGCGCGCGCTATTAAGGGGTAAAAGCACACTCATGGTATTAAAAGGCTCAATCATATAATATTTACATGCTACATTTAGGGTATGGCACAATATCCAGGCCAACCCACACAACTTTGTAACGATGAGGCGGTGGTAGTTGGCTTCTTTACATTATTGATCCAATCAATTTTAGTCAATAATAAATTTCACGTGAACTCAATTAGCTGACTACTACAGTGTACGTAAATACTTCTTTTACTTTCTGGCCGCTGAGTCTTTTTTTTTTTGAGTTGTTTAATTATGTATATTTTATTCTCAAAAAGTAATTTATTTCCTTTGTGCATAGATTTTTTTAAAGATTTTTTTCTTACTTACCTTTTTTAAAATTAGTAAGGCAGCTATTAATGGTTAGTACATAAAAATATTTATACGAATGGGTAGAAAGAAAGTACGTCAGAGGGAAAAAGATCAGTCTTCTAGCGATGAGTACTCGAATTATTACATTTAATTTTTATAAAAATTATGGTTTTAAAATATTATTTAATTAACTAGAGACGGTCCACAAATGCTCCCACCTAATCTGCTTAACTTAAATGCAACTGTGCATTCTAATTATGATTATAGTAATATTTATTATATCTATTGATAACTGCTTCTAGGCTTCTTTATTGAATTATTTATTAATTGTATGTTTTGTCCCTTATCGTTGTAGCAGATAATTCGGATATAACCATGACCGAAGATGCTTCTAATGCAAAACACAAGTTCAAATCTCAAAAAGTAAACTTGTTTATAATATAAATATTAATAATATGTATTTTAACATAAAAATTAGCTCTTAGATAAAGGCTCACAAAAAAAGGGCACAGTTACCACCTTTAAAGCTTTATATAATAAACTCGAATTTTTAGAAATAACTGAAGAAAAGTCAGTAGATATAATAACAACAGATCTTCAAAGTACGAATAAGGTTAAAAAGCAGAAAAACAGTAAACTCTATGGAGAAAGTAGTAATGATAATAAAAATACGCAGAAAAAGTCTGCCGTTATTGAGATTCAAGGCAAAGCGAGTGTCGAGTTAAACACTGGAAAAAAGACAGCTTTGGAAAGGATTAACGACACCAAAAAGAAAGTTGTTTATAGCAGTAAAAAGAAAAATAAGAGCGTCGAAATAAAATCGGAAGTGAGTATTGCTGCTTCTGTTGCGTGCCCTGAACTTTCAACTGAAGAAAAAAAAGTGAGTACCAAGACTGTTCAAGCTACAGTCGAGAATGTGGTTTCTGATTGGGAAGCCCTCGATTGGGAAGCTTCTGATTATGACTCTTCGAATCCTGACTCGTCTACCGTCGGTACTTTTACTTAATCGACGAGTGTAAGAATTTCTAAAGGTGTTATTGTACTTCTGCAATAGACTCTCCTGATAAGGCTCCTGAAAAGGGCCCTTCTCAGCCGGAAGCGCCTCCTCAAGCCGTGTTACTTTTGTTAATTTGACGCTTAATTTTGGTGATCTTTTTTTTGTAGGCGGCAGAGGCAACACTCCGGTCTCCTATTTGCTGTGTTCTCGGCCATGTAGACACCGGAAAGACAAAACTTTTGGATAACATTCGCTCTACAAACGTTCAGGTTTACCCTTTGTTTTATACGTTTTGTTCTTTCCCTTAGTTCCCTATAAACAGGATGGCGAAGCAGGCGGGATTACCCAGCAAATTGGGGCCACGTTTGTCCCCACCTCTGCACTGGCTCAAAGGACCGCCGTTATAAATAGGCAGGGTAACACTTACCTGTACCCGCCGCGCATAACTTTGTCATTCCTTTGACACGTGGCGTTTGTAGGCCGACTGGAGCTGAAGGTTCCAGGCTTGCTGGTGATCGACACACCAGGCCACGAGTCCTTTTCCAATCTTCGGTATTAGCTCGCATAGTTTCCCCTTTTCGCGCTGTTTATCTTTTCTATTTAGACTTCGTGGGTCATCTCTTTGTGACATCGCGATTCTCGTTGTTGACATCCAGCACGGACTGGAGCAGCAGACTATTGAATCCATCAGCATCTTAAAAAAAAGAAAAACGCCTTTCGTGGTTGCTATCAATAAGATTGACGTGTACGAGCCATGTGTTTGCTGTGTAGATTCTTTTTTGCAACACACAACCGAAGGTGTTATGGGTGGACGCCCCGCCTCCATTCCGGGTTTAGGGCCTCTTTTAAAAACCAGAAGGGCCATGCGCAGAAACACTTTAACGAGCTGGCCTCAAAGATAGTCCTTCAGTTAGCAGAGCAGGTTGGCACTTTCCTAGAGGTGTGTTTATCTTCTATTAAGCTTTTGTGCAGGGCTTCAATGCTGCTCTATACTATGAGAATAAGGATTTAAAAAAAACAGTTAGTTTAGTGCCGACCTCTGCTAAGACGGGAGAGGGCATCCCGGATCTTCTGGGGTTAATAGTGCAGCTGACCCAGCGGTGGATGGCCACCCGCATCTCTTTCAAAACTAACGTAGAATGTAGCTTCTATTCGGGATTACTCTAGCTTATATTATTGGGTTAACTTATCACAAGGTACCATTTTGGAGGTCAAAAAGGTGCAAGGGCTGGGCACCACGGTCGATGTAATATTATCACAGGGCTCCTTAAAACAAGGCTCGTATAGCGTTTCCAGGTGGATTTCTTTGTTATTGAGCCTTGAGTAGGTCAGACAATTGTCCTGTGTGGTCTGGACGGACCAATACGGACAACTATTAGGGAATTGCTCATGCCGCAGCCCCTTCGTGAACTACGCGTGAAATCGAACTATGTCTCACACAAAGTTGTCTCGGCTGCCCAGGGGGTTAAAATTTTTGCAAAGGTTTTACTTTATTTTCGTCGCAACGCCGCTCATTAATTAGACAACTGAGTTAGCATTTGGAAAGCGCAGTGGCCGGAACACCGTTGTATGTTATTGATGACAATACGGACGAATCGCGCATAAAAGAGATAGAAGAAAAGGTTGTTGCAGTTGGTTGCAGAAATTTCGCCGCTGAATAATTTATTTTAGGTTATTAATGAGCTGAAGGCCTCTTTGGATCGATTTGAGACGCAAGAAGAGGGTGGAGTAGCCTTTTCTAAATAGAGTGAAGATGCTTCGCTAGACTTTAAATTGTTCGTGTCAGGCGTTTGCGCTCAGGCCTCCACTTTGGGCGCTTTAGAGGCCTTGCTTGTATTTTTTGAAACTTCAAAGATTCCAGTTTCCAGCGTGGATATTGGACCAGTTGAGTTTACCAGCACAACTTATGTAACAAACGGATAGTGCTTACTCGATGAATGACAGGTCCACAAGAAGCAAGTTGTCAAATGCTCGACGCAAAAGGACGCTCTTTACTCGTGCATCCTTGCCTTTGACGTGCCTGTGGATCCGGAGGCCAAAAAACTCGCTAAGCAGAAGAAAATTACAATTTTTACCGCGGATATTATATATCATTTGTTTGATCGCTACATGGAATTCAGAAAGGTGGTGATCGCGTAGCAACACAGCCTTGAAATATATGCTAAACGATTAAAAAAACAGACTGAACTGGAGAAGCGAAAGCGCGCTGTGGCGCACTTAGCGTGGTTTCCATGCGTCCTGCAAATCCTCCCTGAATCGATTTTTAGGAACCGCGATCCGGTAAGCTCTCCTCGTTTATCATTGCTTGTGGAATGAATCGTTTGGCTCCTGCAGCTTATAATGGGCGTCACGGTAGTGGAGGGCACTCTGAGGTCGGGCGTTCCTATAGTTGTTCCCGACAAAGACGTCACACTTTATAACCTTTTTTTTATTGGCTGCTAATGTATTTATTATAGTTTCTTGAACTCGGAGTGGTTGATTCTATTCAAATTAACAATAAAGACTTGCCAACGGCGAAGACTGGGCAAAGCGTGTGTGTTCGCATCCAGAACACTCGGGATGCTCCCCGGATGTACGGTCGTCACTTTGACCACACTAATCTGCTCTATACAAACGTACATTTTTCAATAGTCACACAGCGACGGTGTTGTGCACTCACATTTTATCTACTGATAGCTAAGCCGCCGGGCTATTGACGTTCTTAAGGAGCATTACAAGGAGGAAATGACTAAAAATGACTGGAAGTTGATAGTTAAAATGAAAAAAATCTTTAAGATTTTATAAAGCAGGTTTGCTAAACTAAAAATTAGTATTTCTGACTTCCAGTGGCACTAAGCACGTAGTCCAGTTGAACGCCGCTGGTGGCCAACTTCAGGCCCCTTTTAAATAGATTCGTACTACTAGCGCAGAGGCTTGGGACACACACGTACCCTAGCTGGCCGCTCATTCGGGTTTGCACAAAATAGACAAACAGGACCAATACGTGAAAGAGATTTTTTTTACCCTGTCAATGACAGCATGTAAGCGGTTGCAAAGTTTGGCAGGAAACAAAATGAGACCTCCGCCACTTCCCAGAGTGACCAAAGTTCGTCTCGTCCGCCACTCATATTTCTGCGCACGGCAACCCGATAGTGCACGGCGGGCGCCAACCGAACTCGACAGATACAGACGTCCTTAGTGCAGTCTGCTTATGAAAACTGCTATAAAGACCCCGGTTTCGATAGTAGTGCATGCCGGCCTGCCTTCGGAGGGGATGGGGCCGCTGCTGACATACTCCGAACTGAAAGGCTGTGTGCTTGAAGGTTTTGAAGGAGTCACAATGTCCATAAAAGTACAAAAAAGATGGAAGAGCAACTACACGAGGATAAGCAGTTGGACTTTAGCAAGGTGCGGTGGTTAAAAAACCTCTGGGTCAGATGGTAAGCTGTCCCTTAGAGGCCGTCCTTTGTGCAGCAAACCGGATGCATCCCAGCAGTAGGAGCCAAGAGCAACGGAGTGGTTGGCCAGCTCTGCTATGCGTTGAACGACGTAATCCGCACAGAGAGGATGTTCTTTAATATCCAAGTATCGTTGGACTTGCAGCCTCTCAAAGCAGTGTTTGTCCTGTATGAGAAGCAGCCGGAAGAAAGGGCGACAGAGCACGTGAGCAATATGTGGAGGGAGCACCTGGGCGTACCGTTGGAGAAGCTGTCTGTTTTGTTCGGAAAGAACTGTTGAATCAAAATATTAACAAGCCTTTTTTAAGGCGCTATAACACTACCGCCGCATTTAAAGGCAGCGTAGCCGAGCTGCTCGAAGTAAGCATCGAGACTTTTAATGCGTGCGAGCAGGTTGCGTAGTATTTTCCTGGAGAGCCACTGTAGTTATTGTTAGTACGGAAGTGCCCAGTAAATAGTTTGCTATTGGACCGTTCGCATGTTGGTGGTCCACAAGTCCATCATAACTTGGATCCCCAACTCAGCGAGCTAAATTTTGATAGGAGATTAAAAAGTTTATATAAAAACAGCTTGAAGTACTAAATTTTCAGCCAAAATAGGATTGGGCACGTGGCTATGATCCGCACTTGACCGCGTGACCATTTTTACTTTGCGTGAGCGACTTATATTGCTGAAGTGCCATAAACAGTGTTTATGCAGGATACAAGGCTATAACCAAAGAGAACCTCGTAGCTGTTAAATACGGCCGGCTTCCTAGATCACCCAAGCTAGAAGCATGAGCCACCCAGTTTGCGTTATCTGCTAAAAATTAGAGCTGTAAGCACGGCAGCTATTATTCTGGATCTACTTTATATAAAACCAGTGGAGGAGTTTAAACTCATTCGAATCTCTGTAGTAAGTGGAGGACTTCCCGGGGAACGCACTGGTCTGCCTTTGTTAGAGGAGTCTATACAAAAAATAGTAGTCAGTAGAAGTAGGCTCGGATCTATTACGCGGCATACCCTGTACTTGGGGAGTTAAGGAGGAGGTCCACTTTGAAAGTCGCTCGCTGCTGGAGGGATGAGCAGGACACTAATAAGCATTATCAAACGTGGGTCGATATGCAAGAGAGTCAAGTAGTTACCTCCTTATAAGGTGTTAAATTAAATGAGGGGGACGAGGGAATCTCACTGATGGGCCTCTTCCGGAACAGTTCGTCGAAGTGGTGGGCTGCTCTAACTGCTTCTTTAAACTCACTTGAAACTTGAAAGTAACGGATGATCAGGAGCAAGCCAGGTAAGATAATAGCCATGCCCACTGCAAAACGGATAGAGTTCTCTAATATGATGCGCAGGCCAAGAATTTCAACGGCACTAAAACGTTTTTAACAGTGAACTGCCTTTAGTGTGATTGGCAATTAAAACTTACTGCCCATAAATAATTGTAATTGAAGAGCTGTAAGTCAACCAAGTTGCAAAGATTAGGACGCCGTAGAGTAGTGGCGCAGAGAAACGGGCACCGAAGAAAAGTGACAGAAGAAGTCGGGAAATTAAGGCAAAGCTCAAAAGTGAACCTCACAGATCAAAAAAATTATAAATAAACGAAATTATTTAAATAATTAAATTTATGCAGAAGGTACTTAAGGCACTAGGATTACGTTAAAGGTTAAAAAAAAGAGAAAAAACTTACCCACAAGTTTAGGCCAAGTTATTTTTTTTTTTTTAAATAATTCATCCAAAGTATTAATTTCTAAGGTATAATATTGACAAAAATAAAGCATTCCTAGAAATATTAATGAAATTCCGGCATATAAACAAAAAGGTTGAAAGAAATTTTCCCTAGAAGAGAGCTTCGAAAGATCTGTTAATTTCTAAAAACTGAAGTTAGATGGGGTTTTGTGAACAGCATAAAGTAACTTACAGGAACTTCCCAGTTATGTTTTAAGTTTAAATGCAACTTCTTATTATGATAAAGCGGAGATTCCTTAAAGGAAGAAAAAGTAGAATTGAAATTGGAAGAGGAAGAGACTTTATAAATATTTCCTTGGTTGCTGTAAAAGATCAAATAACTTGGACTTATTTAGAAGAAAAGGCATACTTTAAATGAGCATACGGTAACGTTTCAGGTACGGAAGATTGGAAACGCTCTCTGTTTGCGCTGTAGACGCTCCTATATGGGCCTTGAAGAGAGGGAGTTACGCATTCTTTGCTAACAGGAGTGTATGTTGTAAGATTATGGGCTTCCCTCAAATCTTCTGAAGTCAAAGTCGAAGAACTTTTAAAAGATTGACCCGAAGGAGCAATTTCATGGTCGTAGGTAGGTTTATTAACATAGTTTACACGATAAATCTCCTGATTCTGATATTGACCTCTTTTTAATCTAGGAGAAAACGTTTTCTGACGAGAAAAATGAGTCGGTGTAACATAATTAAAATTTAAAGGGGAATATTTGTGATTTTTTAAACCAGAGTAATCACGATCGTTGAGCATGGTAAATAGGTAAACAATTGAAAATATTTGGATAATACTGCATTTATATATAAAACTGCCTTTTTTAAGTAAAATCAGAGTTTGAAAAAATAGAATATATTAAAAATAGGCAAGAACTTCTAAAAAAAAGTCGTTACCGACAAAGGAGCTAGTATGCTTACTATTTACTATAAAAATTTTATTTCAAAAGTTAACGGTAACAAAAGTAAATTTCAAGGCCTTATAGTAGGCACATGTAGACTATTACTTCATGGGCAACGGGCAAATAACTTTTAAATCGAGAGATTAAAACAGATTATAGAAAGAGAAATAAGAGGCCTTTTATTTAAAATATGGAATTTAACCTTTAAACGAATTTGCCTATAAAAAATTATATACTAATAAATTGTTTTAAAAATCTCTAAACTTTACAAAAATTTATTTTATAGCCTTTTGTTAGAAAAATGTTTTGTCAGTTCACTCCTTAAAGGTTTATTCCATTTATATCCTGCAATATAATATATAAACAAGCAACATGCTTACACAAAAACCCAAAAAAAAACTAAGGTAAATAAAACTAAATAAAAATAATTTTGCGAGAGTGGTGCCAACTTTAATTATGTGTACTATAGTAAAATGTGTGTAAGTTTGAGCAAATCACCTCGAACAGCTATTTTTCGTGTAGCCTGGGGTCAACAACCGATAAAAGTCTTGCGCCCGGTAGAGCTTCTTGATCCCTGTCATATTCTTTACAGTGAAAGCGTGTCTTTCCTCTCCTTTATATGATCTTGGTTCTGATTTTAATCTTCTTGTTTTCTAAGTTTCTTTCTCAGTTTTAATGGCTAATTCCTTCCTTTTTACATATATTATTATTGCGTTTATAATAAATTGAACTTATTAATCTAATTTACATTTTTACTAATAATTTTTTCATTTGTAATTTTGGCGCGCTTTATTACTTCATAGAATCCTAACGACTTTTAATTCTTAACAATATACGACTCATAAGGTAAGCTCATATCATAAGTATGAAAGAGAAAATCCTAAATAAAGGAGATAGGACCAAAGAATTAATAGTTTTGAGTACATCCACTTTAAGCAATTAAAGGGTCAAAAAATGTCGAACTTGAGTAGAGGAGCCCTCTTTTGGAGTTGCGGTTAATTACGACAAAAACGACAACTTAAGAGAGCTCTTAACAGGGGAGTAGCATATAAATTAGATTCATGCTCGTGCCAAAGCAAACATATATCTATTTTACTTAGCTGCTAACCTTTAGTAAATACTTAAATTGCGCCATCCACTGGTACATAATTTCGTAACTGATCTCTTCTCTTGATAATAGAGTGGTGTGCTGAATAAACGCTTAGTAGGGGTAATGGCAATACTTTAAAAGCGGTAAAGTTAGAGATCTTGGTGTAAAGCATTGTTCCGTAATGACGCGTAGAAGCTTGTTTTGTCTCCCTTGATACGAGAAGGTTATTGCCGGTAAGTTATAGACCCGCAGAGGGTTTCTATAGCTGAGCTCCCAACCTAGAAATCATTATTAAAACCAATGGGGGCGTCATTTTTCAAGATTAAATTTTTAAATGGTATGAGATAAATATGATTAAGGTCAAATCACAATATTTGTTCCTTTCTTATTTATCTGAGAATATGTTTTATAAATAAAAAAATATAGTAGAGTAGAGGAATTGTTAGGGCCAAGAACAGCTTCCGAATTATATACAGAGCGTCTTGGTCACATTTCTTAATATAATGTGCAGTTACTTGCCTTAACCTAGCTACAATGAGATGTTTTTAACCAAAATTTATAAGGTCAGCTTATTAATGGTAAGTTTCTTCTTATATGTACTGTTTTTTGAAATAAACCTTTGAGCAATAAATAATTAAAAAGCATATAAACGTTTTATATTTAATTAATGTAGTTCGGGCATTACGTGGTATTAAAATTTTGAAAAGCATATTGTTATGACAGATTTTACTGACCTTTCGGTTTTGGTCAATTTTGAATATTTACCACCCCTTTGCCTCACAAAAGTATTACCTAGTTATAAAGTAAGAGGCCCCATAAAGTTGTGAGGTTCGATACCTTAAGGATTTCTAATGAGCATTCACTTTTATAAAACGCCTATTTTCTCAGGTAAAAGCGAGAACTGCTCTTGATAACCAGTGGAAGGGCCTTAAAAAGTTATAAGAAAAAATTAACAGGAAAAGCTTTGTGCGAAGAACGATTGCATTAAATACCCAAAATTATGTCATAATAAGTGATTGGTGTAATAATTAGTTGAACCGAAAGATATGTTTGGTAATATAAAGTAAACTAGCATCCTTGGCCCATCATTTAAAAACCGAATTTTCTACAAATATTGTCGATAAAATTAAAGAAAAGTCCCTACTTATAGAGATATAACAGTTGATATGAAAATCAGAGACTATCAATAAAGTTGTCTTCCCATATTATATAAATAAAAAATAGTTGTCATTGAGATAAAAAGGTTTAATGCATTTTATCCTTATGATATCTTTAGATAAAGAGCTATTTATATAGTACCATCGCCGTTTATTTACTTAGCTTTAAATTTAACTGAAATATTACATTATGAAGACATTCCTATTATCTTACCTTATTAAACAATAAATATAATTGAGTTTAGATAATGAAAGTACAAATGGTAAGTTTTATTGATCTCGCTTAACACATACGAGTATAAAGTTGTTTCAGAACTTACATTTATTCTCATGGTTTCAAAAATAAGTTGTTAACAATAATCCTACCTTAATAAAGCTGTTGTTTCTTACAAATTTTAATTTCCTCTCCACGTAAAATGTGTATCTCTTTTAAGAGAATGACACTAAAAAAAAACTTTTACTTTGGCCTACTTTTATTTTGCTTGCAGAAAGGTAAAGATTTACTAAATCGGTCACAAAGAATTTAACAGGGTTATGCCGAGAACAAATAAACGCGAAATGGGGTATACCAATTACCTATAGAACAGCGATAAACGGTTTGTATGCAAAACTTATATGATAACTAAATCTACTCTTAATAATATCTAATAAATCAATTAAAATTGTTTTATATATAGAGAGCCTACTATTTAAAGAATTTACTATTTAAAATTTTATTTTCTTAGTAAATTAGCGTTAGTCAGATTGATAAAATATTAGACTGTCGACTACGATACCTCGTGGGATGCAAGATGGACACGGCTTTTTAGGTATAATAAAATAATAAAGCATTTACAGCACTAAAAAGGCTTATAAATTACCATCGTGGTCAGATAGGCTAATATCTTGCATTATAGGAAGTAAAAACTTCTTTGGTTGCCTATAATTTTAAAGGTCGGCAACACTATTTAAAGCCGAAGGACTCCCGCCTTAGACACGAAGGCCCTCCGCCGGTAAGCACCTATACGATACTTTTCGTCCTAATGGGAAGTACTAAAAGATAACCTGCCATCTCCTTTTTCTCGCTTACTCTTGCTCTTCAGAGTCACATTTGACATAACTTTTAAAAAGCGAGCATTCCGAACGCCACCTTGCGAAAGCTTTCTACTTGGGTTGCGTTGCCGTCTCATCTTCTTCCATACATATACTCGGTAAATTATTTTCCTCCTGTACGTTAATTTAATTGGAACTTCGTTTTAAACAATATTTTTCTATTATATTCTACCTGACTTCTTGGTTTTGTTACATTTTGCCAAACGCTTAAAAATTAGCATAATTTTAGCATCGCTGCCTATCTTTCGCTTACTTTCTTATAAGTTGTACGGGGGGCAGTCAAAACGGGTGATAATTATCATACTTTTGCCAATTACTTGAGCGCTAATAACTTTATATAAATTGGAGAAGGTCTTTGCAATTACTAAATAACCAAAAAGAAACTTGTCAAAGCGTTTCAAATAACTTTTGACTGATGGCCTAATAATCAACCCCATGGAATTCAAGATCGCGCTACGTTTTACCTTCTTTACTATTGCCCAAAGCGCTATGGTCCTCCACAGGGAACTGTGATTTTAATTCCTCAAATTCTGTATATAAATAGTACTTGCTATCTATCCTAATATTTTTAAAATTAAAATTTGCTTATTAGTTAGCTGTGGCAATTTTCATAATAACTAACTAGACCATGGAACAAAGTACAACAATACTATGCATATACCCAAATATGTGTCTTTTTTACGAAATTATTATAGGAGAAGAGAGATTTGTATATCCTTTTTACGAGGAAATTAACTCTGACTGTTCTTCTAACATTAGTGAGTTGCTAAAAACTAAAGTAAATATGAATATTTTATAA